AGAGAGAGAGAGAGAGAGAGAGAGAGAGAGAGAGAGAGAGAGAGAGAAAGAGGGAGAGAGCGCCCGAAGTGGATATAGGCAAACGAGAGAAGGCATTTTTGCAACGTCGAGATGGCATGAGAGAGAAAGAGAGTGAGAGAGACTAATGATTTCAATGTCTTGTTGAATTGCACGTTTATGTTATCGTCCCATTATGCCACAAGTACAATTTATCTATTGCATCGAGGGTAGCAAAATGACGCGTTCATTTTGCATAAATAAGTGAGTTGTTTTACCTTCATATACTATCCTATTTCTTGGCTATATAAGTGGCAGGGGTCGGAAGAATTAAAAAGAAAACAAGTCGAAACGAACGAGTTCTTGGACCAAACGGAAAATAACTCCGAACGACAGAAAACGAATACGAGAAACGACATGAACAAATGCAAAGAAAACAATTACAAAAGAGTAGTAACCGTTTGTTTGCCATCGTGCAAAAGGACTCACTTCTGCTTTGTTTACAACGAACATGATTGCCTCTACATGTGTTACACTAGCAAATACATTTCTTTTGGTATGACTGATTCAGTTTTTTTTTTTCTTTCTTTCACTACTTGTTTCAAGCAATTTTCGAAACACTTAATAAATTCCTTTATATTTCAATTTAATACTCTTCCGTTGATCTCGACGTTTATTTGAACATGGCACGATTCACTTACTGAGTCTGATATAAACGCCGATATTGAAGAGACATGGACATAGTATTTTCAGCATACTACATACTGTACGCATTTGGTGCAGAAGAAAACAAGACCGCAGAGCTTCGCTTCGCTCCGCTCTGCGTTCTTGAGTTTTTAGTTACTTAATCTATTTTGTTGTTTCACAACAAACAATTTTTTGGCGTACTACATAAAATGTATTTCATCAAAGTAACTTTGAAGTAATATATTTATTTGCAAAATGAATTACAAGATCTTGGTTTTATTTCTTTTTTGAAATATACTGCCTTTGGTTTAAATTAAATAAATAATATGAACATAGAATCTAAAATCACTTTAATTCTGTTCAAGACTCAGTTAAATAATAAACGAAAAATTAATGTAATTTTTAAACAACATTTGATAATAAAAATTTGATTGACGCTTTGAGATATAATGCACCTATTTGTCGTTACTGCCACTGTTTTAAATTTAAAAAAAATATGAGCATAAAATTCAAATTCACCATAATTTGTTTCAACACTCAAAAAGTATCTAGGAAAAAAAAAGCAGATTAGTAGCTCTACATTTCATGTAGTGCTAAAAATAAATATCATACGAATTGAGTCGAGTGTTGATCGATATTTACATTAGCCGACGCAGGATTTGGTTCGCCTTCTTTTCATTTTTTCCTCTCTGTCGCTTTTTTCCATGTCGTTGTTGCTTGGATCGTCCAGAGCAAAAAAAAGGAAGCATTGAGAGAACACATAACAAATCGTTCAATTGCTGATATGAATGTACGTACATTGTACAACACACTCACTTTATTTGTACTGGAAGAAAGTAATTTTCTAGAACCTCGTCGAGCAAATATACAACGCGAACAACCGTTCCAACAAAAACAGACAGAATACGAATTCGAATTCAAGAGCGGCACAGTCATGCAAATGGCAAAAAAAGAGAAGAGAAACATTATAAATAATTTATTTATGGTTCAACTAGCTGGTGTATGACTGCCATTGGTGTTGCTGTTTACTTGATGCACATAAAACATTATTTGCATCGTGTTGTATCAAACAGGCCAACAGCAACGACCAAAACATAAACCGTATTGAACTTCACGATTGAGCTGACGTTCGAAATTACCAAGAATATAATGAAAAAAAGAGAGAGAAAAGAGAAAGAAAGAGAGCGAGAGATAGAGAAATGGGGAGAGCGTAAGAGAAACATTTGTGGGCACATGTGAAATATCTTGTGCATTTACCGGACCCGCATATATAACTGAAAAATCAAAAGAATCTAATTAGTCAAACTATCAAGAGTCGTTTTCCATTTTACTGCTGCTTTTGATAGTCTCGCTACCGTGTTTTTTCTACCTCTTCTCACATGCCCCTCATATTCCGACACTGGCAGATATATTTTATTTTGTTTTTCAACTAAATATATGATCCATCACACTGGGAACTAATGTAGTATTGCTACTACTGTCGATGCTATACAATGGCGCCGTTTGAAGGGAACACCAAAGAATATAACCAATAAGTCGTTTGCATTCATGCCTTTTTTCTCGTTCAAATAGTTGTGATAGAACGGAAGATGTTCGTTAGTAATTTGATTCTGTCATGCTAATTTATATACGGCCTGTATGGGGCCTTCACTCGAACAGAAGATCAAACATGACGGAAATGATGAAAATGGCAATAATCAGCTCATGCTAGTGAATACCTATTTATATGTATAACAAAACACTTTTCTAAGGTGAAACCAATAAAAATTCATTTTCATCGCGATCAACACTGACACATCTGATAGGCCATCCAATTTGATTAGACAAATTATCACAAAAATATTTATAGGACTTTCACCTCGCGACTTTTCTTAAATTTTCTTAAGCGCAAACATAAAGAATGAGCCATTACACAGTCAATTAACCAACCAAATTGTTCGAAAGTTAGGAAATATTACGACATATTCAGCACTTTTTCTTCGTTTTCGTCTATTTCTGCCTGTGGTTTATGCATTTTTGTTGATCAAAACAAAATATATCTGGTGATTATGTAGCAAAATATAAGCGCTCTCTCTCTCTCTCTCTCTCTCTCTGTCTTAGCGAGTCAGTGGATTTGAATACAGAAGCTAATGAAAATGTTGCACAGAGACAATTGACCGGCTTTGGACGCATTGTCATTCGCGCAATTGCCTCCTTCTCGTAACCTTTTTGCCAAACGTGCAAACCAATACCAAATACTAATAATAAAATTAGACAAAGACTACGTGTTTCCCGATGATGCGAAAAAGACGAATTGATGCATAGGGCCCGGTCTACTTGTACGAGAGAGCAAAGGAGGCAAACAACTTGAGCAACAACAACGATGTAAGAGAAAAAGAAGTTTGCGAGAGTGTCGAGCGTCATCCACGACGACTTCATTCGCGTATTTAATTCGGTTGATGTTCAAACAAAGGCAATCGATTAGCAAAACACTGTCGAGATCAGTTTCAGTTAGTCTTCGAAAAGCATCGGTTGAAAAGCATCACGTAAGCTGCACCTTCTTTGCAACGAACGAAAGTAAATTCAAACGAAACAACCAAAAAAAGGAAGAAAGAAATTACATCGAGAAGAAATCAATTCATTTTGAATTTGTTTACCGACCGCTTTTTTGTGTCCTGCCATTTTAATTCTAACCGTTGATTGATTTGCGATTCGGTTGAGTGCGAGTTAAGTTTATTTCGACTGTTTTTACTATTGTGTTCGCGAATTCGATTTTCTGAGTGCGTGTAATTCATTTATTCGATTTGATTTGGTTTGATTTGATTTTATTTCGTTCGTAAACCAAGAGGTACGAGAGTGATTTTATGTTCTGTTTGTTTGTTTGTTCTCTCTTGTTTCAAATCTCAATTCGATTTTCATTTGCGAGTTAAAATAAGAAATCAATCGCAACGCAACTGATTCGAATTACCTGGCTGAAATAAATGATTTAAATTGAAAATGCGTTGAGCATGCGCTGAATATTTGTATAGTGAAAATGAATTCGGGATGGAATTTAAACAAATCACATAAAATGTATCAACAGCACAGTCAATTAGTGATCTAATATTTAAAATGTCATTCATCATTGATGCATGATAATCAATATTCTGGTAAACCATTGTTTGATTACGATATCATGATCATTCACGGCTCAGTCTATCAGTGTTGGTGAATTGAAATGGCGAAAATGTTGCTGGCAATATTGTAAAAATATTTGAACGAAATATTTTGATGAACCGCAAAAAGAGCGAGTGCATGAGAGTAGGATCGCGAGAGTATTTGGCGAAAATACGTTGCATATTTCACATTTCTGGCGATATGCGAGCCTTACGTTGAGCATGCTGTGTTGAATTCTTCGAACACTTTCATTATACATATTGGGTTACACATTTAATGACAAATCAGATCTTTATGTTCTAACTTGTCAACTTGTCCTTTTTGCTACTGTGCGCGCTAACACTAAGTAGCTTCTCAGAGTAGGCAAGAACATATACTTATGAATTGAGCGACAAAGAGGCACTGCGCACAACCTAATATCATTCGTTCACATCAACCACAAAACGTTGCTCCTGAAAATCAAGACACAGAGTGATAATCTCAATTCAACTTGTCACTATTCTGTGTGTTTTGAATTCAGTGGTGTTCTGTCTATTGTTCGAAAGAAGAAAAAAAAATAAAATGAACAGATGCCTTTTGGCCACTGATGTGTGCGCTAGACATGACGGGATAAAACGTTGATTAGCAATTCGCTCGTCACTTTTTAATGTGCTAAAATTGCGGAATGTTTTAAACGCTTGAGAAACCAATGCAAAACGGTTATTTTTATTTATTTTTTTCTCAATTTGTTTGAAATAAATTTTCGTCCCATTCTATCTCGATGTCGGGATTAAAGAGTATTGGTTACGCATACCAAACGTATTTTCCTTGCACATTGCTTACGTGTTCAGCACACGTCAAACTTTTATTTTATGAAAATACGACAGCCAGAGATAGATAGAGAGCATGAGAGAGATGTTGATTTCGGTTGTTCCCACCATAACAACAACGAATATGCACACGTATCCAAGAAAACGTAGTGTCATTGGTTATCAAACCCAACCGCGAACGAATTGAACGACTATAGAAAAAAAATCGGCAACTGCTGAGCCGACGATGAAAGGACAATAATTTTTTGATTTAATAATATCATGGCATTTCTTGTCCTAGCATTGGCATTCAAGCGCGCACAGCAGCGACCAAACATTGAGAAGCATAGGGAATATCGTTTGCTTTGTTAAAATCCGAATGAAGTTTCCAACAGATGTACAGACAATGGAGTCAACAAGCAAAAAGAAAATCCCGAAAGAAAAACGCAAGAATGTGTTTAGCTCAGAGTGAAAGAGACTGTTTTGTGTTCTTGTCATTGTTGTTGAGCCGCTGGCAACATACACACCACGTGATTGGCGCTTTCGAATAACATTATATAAAGTGTGATCCCACGATGTGTGTACGAAAGTATTTTGAAAATGGTTATCTCTTACAGTGTGCCATTTTTTATGTGCTATTTCAAGGACATTTTTTTTCTTTTCATTTTCTGTTTTCGCACCGAATCCAAAATCGAAGCGACATTTTCGTTCAACATAATTAGAATCAATTTAATATTCATAAATTTTAATTGCCACAAAGTATGGAGAGAGCGAAAAGTGCCCGAGACTTTTCATATAAATAGTTTTTTTCCCGTCTGATGCAAATAACTGCTGCGCTTGATACAGTCAAATTAACAACAAATTGTGCGCCATTGCGGTAGACGAACAGAATCGTGGGCACATGAAATGTGAGAACAACAACAACATCACCGGCAATAGCAAACAGTCTAGAGTATGCTATCGATTTGGCAGCTAGTTGGCTGAGCATTTTCGTCAGCCGATGGCAAGCGAAACGAATTCAAGAGGTCAATTCACTTGTTCATAGCAACACATAGTGTGTAATTATAATAGAAAAAACCCAGAGACAGAGAAGAACGCTCCAAATGTCAATTCAAAATTCATCTACTATTTCTACGACAAACACCATATCCATGCACTACCCTCTTGCGCACGACATAGCGCGAATAAAAGAGAATGAATGAGGAGAATAACGCTAAAGGAGAAATAGATTCAGACAAGAGTTGAAAAATAAGAATTGAAAGTAGAAAAAAGAGTATTTTTCCTAACGACCCTGTATTTTTGAATGTTCAGCCGCTAACAATTTGCTATAAATCAAATTAAATGTGCCATCGAAAGGCGTAACGAGTCCTGGTGTAAATATAACATTTTATGCACTTAAAGCCATCGATGATGTAACACACAACAAACATTACAGAGGGAGCGAGACTGAATGAGACATATCGAAACTATATACTCACACGCTACACGACAAGAAGCGGACAAAAACGCGCTAATGCTCACGATGCGACGGACCTTAAGCGAAAGAAAACTCAAAGAAAGAAAAAAATAAACGAAAAAAGCGAGAAAAAAACAGAAGAAGGAGAAATAAATTGAAATGAAAGAAGAAAAATTACATATGATTACACGAATCGTATATTCGATATATTAATCAAAATATGTGCACGAAATCGTTGTTCGCTGCTTTGTTTCATTTTGTTTTGTCGATGGTAGATCGTATGTGCGTGGTAAGATCATTTAAAAAGCCATTTTCGTTAATGTTCAAGAAATTGAATCGAATGCACAAAGTCACGAAAACATTGGCAGTCAGTTAAAGAGCCGACCGAATCGTATGTCGGCCGACCGACCGACCGAATGTCCGTCCAATAAACGAGCAAAAGAGATCGACACAACCGAACTAGAGACACGGCCAATTAGTGAAATAGAAAGAATCGAGAAAAAAAAATGTGTAGCATTTGCACATCTAAATGAAGTGCAGCCACGCTCGATTTAATCAATCGACAGTAAACATTTAGTGAGAAGAGAATTGTGCTCTGACGTTGAAATACTGAACACTTTTTTGTCGGGGTGATTGATTCAGTTACTTCTTCTCAAGCAACAAACTGAGAAACAATATCTGCTCCAATTCTACCTTTTCTTGGTAAACTTTCCTCATTTTACGCTCTTCAAGATGCATCTAATTTTCAAAATTTGGTGTCCAGATCATGCAAATAATATTGTATTTGTAAATGTACGGCAACAAATCAAGCTCAACACCTGTATATATCAAATATCAAATTGGAGCAGATATTGTTGCTTGAACCATTACTCGTGTATCGTCTTTAATTTCCTCTCACTATCTCTCCGCCCATATTGTATATAATACATAGTCATTTTATTTGATCGTTCGCTCTTTCTTTTGTAGATTTTAAAGAAAAATGTCACGACGTGATGATGATGAAGGTTTCAACTTCGACGATATCGAAGCTGATTCGTCACCAGATGTTCCAGCTCCATCAGCCATTGCAGCTGAAGTAAGCTCAATGAGTATTATGCTACAAAAAAATTCCAATAACTAACAGTATTCTGAGTTTTGTAGGATGGCGAAGTAGGTGATGTATTCGATGTGGAAGAGAGTGCTGCCGCAGCTGCTGATGCGGCACAATTACCGGAAGCTGAAGTTCCACCACCTGAAGATGAGGAGATGCGTAGACCAATCCGATGGTACAGACATTGGGTTCGGTGAGCTTACAAAAATTCGATTGATTGACTTGTTGGAAAACTTGATAAATTTTTACATTTTCCTTTTAATTGTGCCATTTCATTTCAGACCAAAATTCTTACAATATAGATACATGTATGACTATCGAACCAACTATTACAACGATGTCATAGAATATTTAGATAAGCGTGCGAAAGGTGTCCATTGTGAAATACCACGAGCACAAACTTGGGCTGAGCGTGTTCTCCGAACCCACACGAAGTAAAAGCATCACACTTTTTTCGTCAATTTTTTTTTTCTAGTGTATCGGACTGTCTCATGTGTTTATAATGTATTTTATTTCTTTTTTCTCTCTCTTCTCTTGATTTCTTTTATTTTTCATTTCTTCCTGCGATTTATCCACTCATATTTGCATATGACTGATCGCTCGACACACCAGTCCAACGGTTCTTGACTACTACAAGAACCAAAAGAAAGAAGATAAGCATCTTATTCAAGTCATTGCTGCCTCAATCAGAACCCATAACTATCATACCAAAGCCTACATCAACCAAAGATACGCGAGCGTTTTGTAAACGAAAATTTTAGCAATCGTGTTGAGCCTAAATGTCATTCAGCGCCTCATCAAACACACACATACAAACACACACACCTTTTTCTCTCTCTCTTTCTCAATATAACCCGAAGAGAACATAAAACCTATCGATATTATGCAATTCACAATTTGCTCTTCAATCTTGACCACTATTTTATTTTAAAGCCTATGTCTATACATACATATATACGTTTTTTCTTTTATTGATTAATTGGTTAATTGGTTAAAGTTTTCTTTTGTTCTTTTTCGACCTTTACTTTTACTTTTCATTTCAATCTACCTTTATAACGTTTATTTTATCATATCCTCCTCTCTTTTTTTAAAACTTAATTTATACAAACTAAACTTAATCGTTGTTGGTTGTAACAAAGCAAAAAATATATAAACTATCAAAATCAATCGTGGAATTAAATCTGTAGCTGCTTTGTGTCTTTTCGATAATAGAATCTGATGTACGAAATAAATTTTTTTTTTCTGAATGTTTAGTGAAGAAATGAAAAGATATTGGTTTTATTTCTAGACAAAATGTTTGATTTTTTTATTCTCAACATCTACGCATACAGTTTCAATTTTTTTTTTGGACGAAAATAGTGCTTTTATCGATTCGAGGGAAAAAATTACATAGAAAATTGGCAAATGAGTATCTATGCTTGGTTTTCGTTTTTCTGTGCAGCAGAGGTAGATTCTGGTTTGTCCGATTTACCGCTTGAGTCATCACCAGAATCGTCATTGGAATCACTTGAATCGTCTGAACTCAAGCCATCGTCAAGCCACTGAGCTCCTTTTAGCTTCTTTTTTTGCTTTTTCCCTGTTTTTGTGTTTTTTCGCTTCATTCCACCGCTACCAGCTTCTGTAATGACATCGTTACCGTCATTTTCATTGCTTGCGGACACCGAGCTGATGCCACTCGTTGTTGTGGCTGAACTCGAAGCGGTTGCATTTTTAAAGCCTTCTTCTAGTGCTTCTGATACATCGTCCAATAAATTCGATCGGGCCTCAAAATATTCATCGTCTTTGAATTCATGTTTTGGTTTTGAGCGTAGTCTTTCAATTTTCTTGGCAATTTTTGAGCTACCTTCCTCTTCTTCTTTTGCCTTCTTCTCTAAATACTCTTTCATTCGTTTCTCTTCATTAATATCACGCAAACGGCGTCCACTTAAATCACGACATGCCTCTCGATTGGTTGTTTTCTCAATTTGTGCGCCAATTGCACGCAACATCGAACCAAAACCTCCTTTACCGCCGGCCAATCGCATGCACACATGAATTGTACTCGCCGATGTATCAATATTGTCGCTTCTGATCAACTTCCCATTTTGCGTTAGATAAAATTCGGCTGGCGACAAATTCAATGCTTTTGATACGGCTCCAATGATGTCCTCTCGACGATTTGTTTCCGGGTGAATCGTTAGCCGATGCGTTCCTTCCACACAAACGTTTGCAATCATTTTGAGTTTGATGACAATTAAGTTTCGATCACGATGAGTTAGTACGTTTGAATTTGTTGAAATCGCTGAATTATTCAAAAATTTTGCTTTCTATTTCGATTAAACACCCCGAAACAGACAATTTATCACGATTTAGTATTGTTTAGTTCCCAAAATGTAGGTTTTTGTTTAACCAAAACACGTCACAATTTGTTTGAAAATGAAATCATTTGCCTAATATCTCCTGGAAGGTGTCAAAGTCGAATGCTATGGATGTCAAAGTATACGACAGTGAGCGCCATCTAAAGGCTCATTCGGATCTTCTTTACCGATTTTCGAAGAAATTTAAAAATACATGTCGCCGCAGATGTAGAGAAAAGAAAAGTCGTTCGAATAAATTGATGTGTTTTTGTTCTTCATATATTTCCCCTTCATATATAATAATTTATAATTTATAATTTGAATTTTTCAATTGTTAAACGATGTTCTCTTATAATTTTGTGTTCCATAACATGTGATGCTCTATTTAATATAACCTTGCGTTTGTTTTTCTATTTTTCATGTTTCTCTTTTGTTTCTCAAAAATTTGTTTGTAATTGGCTTTTGTTCTCTCCGATGGATTCGATGGAAGTGTGTTGCAAATGGTTGGCTGAAAATGTTGCCTTTCCATTTGTGTTTTGTTTTAGTTATAGTTCTGGGGGGGAACGGGCGGCGGAGCGAGGCGTGCAAATTGTTCGAATACTTAATTGTTTCGTAGCTTATCAAATAATTGCAGTTTCGATTTGACAACTCCTTCGCAAACGTTGAGCCGTTGCGGCGTTGCCATACTTTTATCTAAGTCTAAGCAAAATGCTTCGTATTCTTTGGATGTTGATGCTAACGCATTAGTTGTTTGGTAGGCGATTGTTGGTGATGATGAGGATGCTTGTATCTTGCGGTTCGTATTGCTATCAATGTCGGGTGTTGTGTGTGTAGAATTTCCCGTGCCATTTCCACCACTGCATTTATTGCTGCTGCCTCCGCTTCCGCCTCCGCCGCTCCTAATGTGAGATTGTGACTGGTCCAGTGTGTATTTCGTGCTATCATCAATGGTGGAAGCATTCATTGTGTTATTTCGCAAATAAATTGAACATCGATTTGACGATGGAAGATATGTGCGGGCTGCGACCGATGAGTAGTCGCTTGATGAGATCGATGAAATATGGTGTCGATCAGACAGCGTACAGTTTGCGCTCGTCGAATTCTTAAACGTTTGTCCTTTGCGCTCGAAATATTCAACAATTTTAGCTATTTGCGCCGATCGTGTATTTGGTATGGTTGTTGAATATGATGACATCCGATCATCCCACAGCAGTGAATCACTGCCCGCTAAACTGCTTATATCCTCGGAACTATCCGTGTATATTGACGATGTACGATTCTTACAGTATAACAGTTGATTATTTAATTGGTGCTTATGAAACAGATTATTAATTTCCGAATCCAACGATAATCGATTCACCAAGCCCATATCAATGGACAATGAATCGTTTCCACTACAGTCGTATTTGGCGTTGCGCTCGAACAAATCAAAATCATCGAAGCTGTGCAACGAACTTTGTATCGTTGACGACCGATCGTCGATGTATTGCATTGTGTGCTCATAATCGGCGGGACCGTTTATGGTTAATTTGGCCAACGGTCGATGCGTTGAGTCTTCGTCGGTTTGGCACGAGAAAAATCCACTTTCGCTCGAACCGCCACGCGTTAACAGTTTTGGATTATCAAAATAACAGTTGTCGTCACGACCTCGATCCTCCTTACACTTAAACAACGGATGACTAAACAATGAACTAGCATTTTTCTTCTTTAACGTTCCCGTACAAATCGCATCGTTGGAATAATCATTTGCATCGTTGGTGACACAATGCATAGCATTCGTTTGGCATTGATTGGGTACATCTAATAATTCCATTTTTTTTCGTTCAATCGTATCACTATTCTTTGTCTTATTGTTAAATAATAAATCGTCATCGACATTGGTATCGTTGACATCATGATTTTTGGACGACGGTTGCAAAACCAATTTATCGATTTTGGATAATTTTCTTTGTGTGATTTTTGGTGAGCTGGGCAAGCTTTTTGCTTGTTGCACGGTTTTCGTTTTTCCATTGGCATTTCGTTGTGGAAATGCGGTCGTATCCTTTGTAACACGTATCTCAAAGCATGAACTAAACAAATCGCATACGCCCGCTGTATACGTGGATGGACTGGCACCAATAATCTTTTTCACACCTTTTAGTTGCGTCAGCGTTGTGAATGGATTCGATTTGCCATACGTTTGACTGTTCATGTGCGGCTTGTACTGTGGATCTTTTAGGAACATCGTCTCGGCCACTTTTCGCAATGTTGTATTGCAAAATATTCCAATTGGATACTGAACGCCATTTTCACTGGATTCGGTTGGGGGCGATGGTGATGTTGGCTCATCGATGGTATCTAATTTTTTTGAAAAATATTTTCGAAGAGAAGAAAACCCATCCATTTTAATAAAGAACCCGAAAAAGAACATCATTCTCGTGCAATTTACCTGAACTGGCGTTTAGCTGACTATTTCTTCTGTTGAGCAAATGGCATCGTGCTTTATCGCTTGGTGTTGTATGGGGTGGAAACGGAATGATATTTTCAGATAAAGATCGTCGATGCTGAAGTTTATTCTCTTCGAAGGTACGTAAATGATGTTGCTCATGACCGTTGGCCGCTTTATCTTTTACAATAAACGAATGAATCTTCTCGTTTACACTGTTCGAATAGGAGTCTGCGTGCGTCGACTTGCATGCGATATTTAGCCAATTTGAACAGTAATTATCAATAGAATATCGTTTGTTGGTCGTCGCCTGAGTTGATGATTTTTTGCCATTTTTCATATCATCAGTTGTTATTGAACTTTTGAACGTGATGTCTGCTGTTTTCGGTATGCCGTCGTACTTTTCTAATAACAGTTCTAGTTTTTGAACAATTTCAGCAAATGTAGGCCGACTGCGTGGATCATACTAGGAAATAAAATGAGTAAATAGAACCGGTTTTATGACAATATTTACGGAATTATTCCCTTTAATTGAAACCAACTTACGATGCAACAGTAAAATGTCAGTCTCAAAAATCCGGGCGGTGTATTTGTTGGACAGAGATTAACGTATTGTAAGTAGTCTAAACCAAACGAATTTGTTCTTGGTAAAATGTCTGGATCAGCTTCAATCTAAAAGAGAAAGTAAACCAAAAATAGAGAAAAATGTGTTTCATTTTCATGTTCGAGCGAAAAAAATGAACTCAATTCCATCGAATACCTACCCTGGCAATGATTTCACACGAAATGATGCCGAATGAGAAAACATCACTCGTTTGATCATACCACTGGCCTTTCAAGCATTCAGGACTCATCCAATACGGAGAACCGACCGTTTCTAGCCGTGTTTTACTTCGCGGTATCTTAGCAGCCAGTCCAAAATCTCCAACAACCGCATCAAATTGATTATTTACACCTTTTCGTATGAGCACATTCTATTTTCGGCACAAGAGAGAGAGCGAGAGAATCAGAGATACAGAAGTAAAAACAGCAAAAGCATTTCAATCAATTTCAATTTATCGCACATCCGTTTTTGTTTTTGTTTTTGTGTGTAAGCACTTACTTTGCTGGTTAAATCCCGATGAAAGAAGCCGCATGAATGCACATAAGTCATGCCTTTTGCAATGCCAAGTGCCAGACGAATTTTTGTTGTCATTGTTAAATTAATCGAATGATTTGCCAACAACTGCTCCAATGAACCGCCATTCATGTATTCAGTCAATGCATGCAATTGCCCTTCTTGCACACAAACACCCATAAAACTAAAACAATGCACGGAGAGAAAAATCAAAGCAATCAAATTAGCACATTTCCAGAGATTGTATTTAATATTGACGCGACGCGCCGCTTTGCGCTGATGACTCACTTTAAAATATTCGGATGCGATAGTTTGTTCAACAGTTGCACCTCGCGTAGCATATTCGGTCGATTTGAACGTAATTGATTCATTTTCAGTACCATGACTTGGCCAGTTGTTTTATGTGTAACCTGTATGGCAGGGCACAAATTGTAAATCGATCAAATGTGGGCATGCTAATTAAAATCAAGGCATGGAATCGGTTACCCGTTTCGGTTGTTTGACATGATATTAAGCTTTAAGCAGTTCTATTGATGTTTTTGTTTGTTTTTTTTTATGAAAAAAAAACTGCTATCAGTAGCAATATTGTGAAGCTGTCACTATGCTCATGCCTTGATTCAAATTGACGGTTGGAAAACAACAACAACGACAACAGTGCACTCACCTTGTAAACTTCTGAGAAGAATCCAGAACCAATTTTCACTTTGTAGAAATCGTCGACCGAATATAAGGCCGATACGGCCGTTTTTAATGCCCGATACGATGGACCTGTTGGAAGCCGATTTGATTCCGGTGGCCCGGGAGGCCCGGGACCGCCACTGTGTGTACTTAAATTCATTTGAACTATACTTTGTTATTACTCATTTGTCTTTTTTGTTTCGAAATCCGCTTAGATCATCAGTCAATGTTGCATAAATATTTTTTTGAACATGGTTTCGACATTCACATTTCTCTGTCTGTCTTTTGGTCACTCGCTCACTGCCTCTTTCACATTAATTCACAGAAGAAGAAAAACAACGATGATGATTATGATGATGATGATCGGAAGAACACATTACATTTAAAAGTTAATCACTTGAATCAATTAAAACTCTAAATTATTTTTAAGATAATACATAAATAAATAGATGAATTCATTAATTTGTTTATGCTTTTGTTTATATGCTTCAACTATTTAGGTTTATTTAATTTTTATTTTTTATTTTCAATTAAATTCACTAAAAATCGCTACGATTTGGCATTTGTTATGGGCTATAAAATTTCACTAAATTCACTCTAGCTCTCAGTTGTTTGTTTTGTGTCGTAAATCATGTTGTCGCGAATTAATGAGGATGATGATGTTTTTGTTGATGATGATCACATCATTTCGTGAATTCGCTAAATATTTTGCATTGTTCACGTTCCTAGTATAACTTTTACTATGCAGTTCTTAGTTGGCATTAATTTTCCATCCTGCAACAAGAAGGAGAAAAAAAGAAATTGCAATTATTTTTTAATTAATATGTTTCGCGCACATGCAACTCAATAGATAGCAATATGTTTTGGTTCGTTTGTCGCTAAGTGGATGGGAGAACCGAACGAGAAAAAAAAGCAAAAACACACAGTGAAAACCGTGAAATGAAGCACGAGGTAATTTATAGTACAGCGATAGGGTCGTTTGTTTTGTTTATAATATGCAATTATAATTCATTTTGGCATTTAAGTGAAATCTCTCATCTGCACATGGTTTAGGAATTTTAGAAGTAATCGTCAAAAATTTGTTTTTTTTCCTCGCTGTTTGTGCCATTTGTTGCCACACGTTAATCACACCGAACTATACTCTGAGCGCTGGAAATTCAAGAGGAAGCCGCAATAAAATGAGGGAAAAGAAATGATGAAATTCCTAATTAGAACACTCTTTTAAAAAATGTTCTTCTCTGTACTGCTGCTGCTGCTGCTTCTTTTTTTCTAAATTGCAATAGCTTCAAATGGAGCTGCAGCAACGAAACACTGATGTAAACGAACAACACACGTTGGAAATTGCTATAAAGACAACGCCAACGACAACGCGAATGCATGATACGCTAGATCATACCTTTTTCATGCTTTTTCCCTGCCTTTTCTCACACACTAGAACGCAATTTCAATAGCGTGACTATCTTGAACTCATACTATTTTTCAAATCATCATCTTTGTTGCTTACTTTTTTCCCGTTTCTCAATGCTCAATACGTACGATGCTGTGTGTGCGCGCCGTGTGTGTAAGTGTGTGTGTGTGTCTCGGATGTGTGTGTCTGTGTGTTTATTTGTGTGTGTACGTGGTTGCGAGAGAGTATTTCGTTTTCGGCACTTAAAAATTTACATCGCATTTACCAAACACGGCCACGCACGCTGTCTGTGTCTGTAAATACAGTAAGCGTTTGATTCGTAAATTGCATTGCGTACTTATGCTTCGTCTGCTTGCCTGCCTGTCTTGTTGCTAATCTGATGTTCGGGAAATAGTTTGTGATGTTATTTGCTGATGTATTTGTAATAGTAATTTTGTGACTGTGCAATATTCGCCATTACATATTCATCATAAATATGTCAAAAATAAAAAAATAAAAACATATCGTACGGCTGAATGGTTTGCTTCGGCCAAAAGCAAAGTCAACAACACATACTTAATAAAAACGGCGTTAAATATGATGAATGAGAGAGTAAATAAACGGCAAATACAAATTGACAACAGCTACAAGAAATGCCGCACGAGCTCATTGTGGAATGAGTGCAATAGTTGATCCGACCGACACAAAAAGAAATATTACGGGAGACGGGGAATCACAGCACAGCGCGCGACAAAGTTATTGAATCGATAATATTGCAGAAGAGAAGAGAAAAAAAGAGAAGCAAAAGAAGAGGCACTCCGACGTAACGGTATGCTTCGCATGGGTCTTGATACAGTTGAGAAGCGGTGAATGTGTTCTTGAAAAATGTAATCCACTTTGTATTCCGTATTTTCTTTTCATATTTTATTAAATACAAATGTCACCACTCTTACAATCTATGTGTATCGTGCAGGCACTGTTCGGCTCGATGCGTAATTCGCTTTTTTGTTTCGGTTTTTGTTCGTGCACATTTGCACATTTTTCAACCCACCGTTTTCATTGCATTTTTTTTTCTTCTTTTCAACAACACACCGAAATTGAAGGAATTGAAAATGGAAATCATTATTTTGACTGTGGTTATACGGAATGTTACCAGCGTTCGTACAAATATATGAAGAAAAACCAAACCAACCATAATTTATTCGCAGAAATATAACGATGCATCAAGCGCGTTGAAATGAGGAAAAGAAGTGAATTGAAATGAGAAAATCGTTGCTCGATTTTATTAATTGTTCACTGTATTCAGTGTATTCAGTGTGTTTCGTGCCGTGCATGGCCCAACGAGCGAAAAATGTGTTTCAATTTAGATAACAAACTCAGCGCCTATTCATTGAAAGCGATCTGAATTTAATCGCACTTTTGTTAAATATCATAAGTGGATAAGTCGCGCGAATACGATCATGAGCTTGAAGGTGTTTCAACATTTTTTCTGTTGTTATTTTATTATTCCTTTATTTTTTTTGGTTTATGCCTGCCTGTCTGTCTATGTCTACCTTCTTCTCGAGCTCATGCTTTTTGTTTACAGCTAACTGTTTTCCTCTTCGCCAAATATATATATATTATACACATATAAATTCGAAGCTTTGAGTTTTAATTGGTATTTCTTGTGCCTGCTGTTGCTCTTGCTTGTTTTACTTCTTCCTCAATGCAATGATTGCTTTGTCGTCGTTGTGAGTGCACGCGTTCACTCGATCGTCAACAGTGCTCAAATTGTGGTGAGCCTCTTGAAATTTTTTTTTTCTCTTTTAAATGTTGCTTTCTAGGCGGTTTTCGAATGGAATGAAAAAAATCACAATTCGTTTGTATATACCGGGTGTTTCTCTACCACAGATTCCCCAGCCCAAGTAATGAAGGCATTGGAGACTTTTCCCCCGAAGGGCTCATTTATTGGGGTTACAGCATTCGGTAGTGTTTAGATCCAAAATGACATGTCCCAACGCTGATAGCCATCGTGAGCTCATTTTCGAAAAATATTTGCATGAAGTTTGCCAACACCCTATATCGGAAGAAACAAAATAACACTGCCAATATATGATAAAATCAGTGCAAAAGGAAATTTCATCAAGTAGCGAATGCTATCACTACTTATCTCATGGTCTGTGATTGTTTTTCTTTCTCTCTTGTGGTTGGCCAGCACTCAAATGGAATGCGATACGATCTTACATATTAGACGGTCAACAGATCAAGAAAAATTGGAAATGCACTTGATTTATGGCTGCTCTATGCTTATCTCGTTTTCAACATTATTAGAAGAATGTATTATCGACGAGAGACAATACACAATCAGACCATTAATCGATTTTATTGCTTTGGTTTTTAGGAGATTTAAATTATTTTTTTTCTTCGGTTTTTTCGTATTTGATTCCACAGAGAGAACTGTTTCAACAAAAAAAATCATCATTCGAAAATGGTGAATTGTATACAGAAAATAGAAAACAGTTGCAAATGTCACGCTCTCTTTCTTTCTCCACCAAAATGGGTTTTTCGGTACCAAAACCACTTCACGATACACATCAAGCCTGTTGTGCGTATATTTTTTCTCGATAATTAATTGAAAATTCCATGGCATGCTACTAAATGTGAAAGATTGGTGTAATTTTCGGTGTTTTCGCTTCCGTTTGCACTTTGCAAAGCTTGATGCAATCGAAATCAAAGAAGAAAACGTTTGAAACAAAAACATCCGAATCCAATTCGATATACACTACCGGCCAAAAGTTTGAGGCACCTAACGATTTTTCGTATAAATTGTCGATTTTGTGGACTAAAAAAATATATTTTCCATTTTCAGACATTATTGATCTTTTGCATGTTGTTTCTATATCTCATGAAGCTCATTATACTGAAAATTCAGATGAAAATATTCACTGGTTTTTTTATGGGAAACATTTCAATCTTTCGATATTGCGTTTTCATGCGAAATTGATCGTTCATGGGTGTTCACGTTAAATAAACGTTTTCCGTTAAAAAAACCCGTGAATATTTTCATCTGAATTTTCAGTATAATGAGTTTCATGAGATATAGAAACAACATGCAAAAGATCAATAATGTCTGAAAATGGAAAATATATTTTTTTAGTCCATAAAAAGCGACAATTTGTATGAAAAATCGTTAGGTGCCTCAAACTTTTGGCCGGTAGTGTAATTAACGGAATCAAAAAAAAAGAAAGAAAGAAAGAAAGGAATGATACTCAGTGCAGAAGAGAAAAATGAAAGCCCCCCTGAACAGCATTCAGCTCAGACATCGTAATAAAATCAATTCAATAATATCGCTGCAAATATATGCATGTATATGTGAAGTTGTGCAGTTGGCGTGTATCTCGCTCTCTTTTTCTCTCTGCCACTCTTGAAATTGCATTCGTAATATGGAATAAAATGGGCAAATCGCAAAACAATACACGAAATTATACCGATTCACTTGGTTTGCATTCCAAAAAATGCATCTATTTACAACGGTATGCATGGCACACTGTAAATTTTTCATCGTTCTGCCAAGACACTGCTTGCTCATTCTCTCTCCACAACAGCTCGACTGCCGTGCATGTTTTTCCCTCAATTTTGTGTTTTTTTTTCTCATTGCAGATTCCATACGTTTGTTTGATGATTGGATTGGAAGTGGATTCCGATTCCGTGGATAGAAAATTATTACAATGCAAACAAATGTGTCTCTAGCTCTCTGGTTGCAATATATGCAATTCATCGGACTTTATGTGTGCAGCGCGCACATGATCAACAGCGACATACAGAGCACAACGTATCAGGCAGACGAATGAGCAAACAAATAAACAAATGAACGAGCAAACGAACGAACGCACAATCCGAACTTTAGTTTTCTCGGTACACATCATGTGCATCATCTATATAATATTTTTTGCGGTGCGTTTTTCTTCTGTGTAGCTTGATTGCACTTTGCATTATTTATACTGGCATCGAGTTTTTTTTTTGAGTTTTCTCGCCCGCATCACATATGCCATTATTTAATTTTCTTTTTTATTTTGCTACTCACAAAAAATGATTATAATTATTATGTGAACGCTTGATCAGAGAGTGCATGGTGTTCACCAGCTACTTTTTTTTCTTCTTCTCTAGTTACAAATATAAACACCAAACAACATACCGAGCACATATGAACACTCACTGGCATATAAAATGAGAAAATTAAGTGGATTCGCCATTGTTACTATTTCTTTTTGATTATTCCAACCATCATTTCAAGTAAGATAACAAAACCACTCGAAATAGTGAACAAAAAAAGCACAAAAAATATATTCACAACACATACACGAATGTCGTTGTTTTCTTTTTTCTTTCTTTCTTTATGTCGTTGCACTAGGAACCCAAATGACGGGCTTTGTGTGTTTCGTCGGTTGATTATGTGAAAAAGTACAAAGAATGAAATTGCAATTAATCGTTGCTCTTTGACTTTGATGTATCCACTAAATTAATGTGGTTTCTAGCCTTGAGTTTTATTCAATTGAAAATGGTGGCATCACTTGAATTTTCTTAATTGTCCACATGACTCGAGCGACTCAACTAGAGAGCCATATATTACACCGTTGTGACGAATACACGCTTGTGTACCGATAAGCGCGGTTGTCTTTGTACCGTTGTAAAATACAACTTTGATCTAGTTTTTTTTTTCGAAAACCGGGCGAACACAGCGGAAAAAAAACTAATACCACTGAAATGGAATATATGAAAAACGAGATAAATAAGTGAATAATAAACATGTAAACACACATTATATCACGTTTATGAGTTTAAAGCATCTCATTGCGCACAAATATCCTCAAGTATTACCGCACACAAAACGAATATCTTTGCTCCAATGAAATTCCAAATATCATACGAGAGCCCAAATCGAGTAAACGATGGAAAGAAACAACAAGTATTTAAGTATGTTTTATTGATAGGTCAATAGACAGGGACTGTGCTGTGATGTTAGTCTCTACGTCAAGTGATGAGCCTTGATGCAAAGCTACAAGTGCCTTGATCGATGTACAACAATTTCATGAATTATCTCAAGAATGCGGCAAATCGTGACAGAACGAGAGATGAAAATTCGTCGAAATAAAAATTCGCTTGCATGAATGAAGTGATGATGAAAGAAGAGAAAACTGAATCAGACGAATTTAAACATTTTCTCGATCATATCGGATCGAAAAGACAAAATCAAGACATCGCCTTTCTATAGGTTAGCAAACAAATGCGCTCTACAAACACAAAGAATATCATCATCAACTAGACACAGTTGTTGAAATATTTTTTTTTTGTCTCGTTTTTTGTTTCTGTGTTGGCTCAAACATTTCTATCTCTCGATTATTTGTAGCTGTTTTCTTTTTCATTCGAGTTTACATCTGCCAATAACATGCATACAGATGCTTTTATACAAACACACATGCCCATTAAACTGTTTTTTTTTTTCAACGAAAAATCAACATAAATCTTCTGAGTTTGAGCTAATTTCTGTAACTTTATTTCTCTTTCTAGGTGTTTCTTTGGCTATTTTTCTTGCTCAATCGTGTTGTGTGTTTCTTATTGGTGGTAGACAACGCTATGAGCATTTGCTACTTATATACATATATATGAACACATCAAGCCTATTGTTTTCTGAAATGATACGCTTGCTCGTCGCCATGCGTTGTTGAAAGTGAAACAATATACAACAATTCTGAAGGGCCCAAAGGAATGGTACGAGTAAATCACTGAAGACAACGGGTAATAATTACATGAACTATATCAAATTATCAAATTACCGCACTCTTTGAATCAAACGATGAATGAACACTTCGCGTTTTCGTTTTATGAAAGAAAAATATGTACCAGTTGTCCGAAAATCCAACCAAACCAAACTAAACCTAATCAAATTCAATCAAATGGAATCGAACGAACTGAAGTGAAAAAAAACAACAACAAAAATTGTGTAAAACTTTAAATGCGCCCAAACGTGTATACGCATCACAACGCATTAAGCGGCTTATTGAAACTGAAGCCAGCCACTGACTTTTCTGGGATTTTCTTTTTGTGTGTGGTTGTTTTTTTGTTTCTCTTCATCCTCAATACTTGTTGTTTCAGTCGGAAAACAAAAATAATTTACGGCTTGTTTTGCTATCACTCTGTTCACCCGCTTACATTCACATTCGCAAGAGTGCCGAACGTTGCGTCTTTCACTGTCTTGCAATTTCTTTCTCTCATTTTTGCTTTTGATTTAAAGACGTTCACGTTGCTCTCACTCTCTAAGTTTTTTTTTATTTTATTGTTGATTTTCATTTTTTGCACCTAACAATATTTTCAATCTCATCCATTCTTTCTTTCCTATCAAATCGCCATTACTTTTTACGAAGACAGCGAATGCTACTGCACAATTTACGCTTACGCATTCACTAACAAATTTAAACGAATGAATATCACCACGTCGAGCGAAAAAACAGCAACGAAGAGAAAATGATGAAACGAACAGCCGAAAATTCACTGGCTGGATTGCATACCGAAATTATTATTAGTCTGAATACGTGACAATGCGTAATATAAGAATTCACTCCAACGATGTCAACACAACATTCGTTTGTGGCGTTCACATAACAAATCTCAGCGCGTTTTTATCAAGCGTAAACAACCAAAAAGGATGTACGGAATGATTGTAAGACTTTTTTTCCATTTGGATTTTCGGTGTAGGTGACGACTATACGGAGCATGCGATTGTATTTAAATATATGAGGCTGTACCTTTTGGCTCCGGAAAAAATAAAGAAGTTACTGTGAGTCTATTTGCTTCTCAATTTTAGTTTCACTTAAGGGTTTTTTTTTTGGTCTCATTCTACCTAGTTGGTGTGGCTATATTTCGAAACATGATGATTTTCGTTTTTCGCCATTAAAATTCCAAGTTTCCGTCTTTTGCATTGCTATTCGGAGACTTTGGAGTCAACAATTATTTGAAAACAAGACAAGAAACCAAATTACTTTGCATCGAGTTATTAATTCATTGCATTTTTTTTTCTCCAAATGGTATGGATTTTGTCTGTGATGGAGCCAATTTTTTTCTAAGTACTTTGAACCTAATACATACGCACGGAATTTTATGTAGATTCATTTCTTGTACATGACATGAAGACTCAGATTGCAAATTTGTGCAAAACTTTGGGAATATGAATACATTTTTTGGAATTCTGTCCAACCCATTTTATTATTTTATTTGTTGCTCAATCAATTTGCAAATGGTAAATTGCAATGGTTCAGCATTTTTTTTCTCTCTTGAAACAATTCCGAGACACCAATCAATCTGGCCCAATAAATGAAAACATACACAAAAAAGAGACATACAGCGAATAAAGAAAAACAATGTTTATATACACTCTTTCTTTCCCGAAAAAAAAACACAACACAACATTCGGCCAACAAAACACCAGACAATTCAACATTTTCACCGATTGACATCGAAAATTTAAATAAAATGATCCTTACATAGTTGTTTTAAAACGCTTGATTCTTCAATTTATTGCTAGTTGTTTATTTATTTCGTTGCACTTTTTTCTCACGTCTCCGTCGTCGTTGCCGTTTTCTGTTACAGACAAAAAATCGACTTGTCAATGTTAATGTCTACTTCTCTTTTAGTTTGTACTGTCGGCTGCAACAACACTTGATGTGTTGCCCGATTCGATGTTAGATTGTCGAAAACATCGCAGATAATCGAATCAGACTGTCGATTCAAGCGGAATTGCGGCATTTTTCATTTTTTTTCTTTTCATAAAAAACGCAAATTATAAATTAGTCCAATGAACAATTTATTCATTTCGAATGCTCAATTATGCTTGATTGATGAATTTTTCAACTTAAGTTTGACGCGTGATAGTTTCGTTATACTTACTAACGGCAAACCTCTGGATAATTCAATGCGAAGGAGAATCCTAAAAAAACAACACTTTGACAAAGATAGAAAAGACAACAAATTCTTATTTCAATATGGAATTCTTTAAAAAAAATGTAATCGAATCTATTACATTTTTCTCCGTGTTTTGTTTTTTTTTTATTGAAACTTTTCGGTATAATCTAATTGAACACGTTTCCTATTGTTAAGTAAAGCCAGAGAAATGTAAATGTTCTTCTTTCATTTTGTTTAATGTTCAAACATTTCATCGAATGCGACAAGTAGTAGCTCAGATTTACAAGTTAATTAAATGCAGCGGTTGACATCGATAGTGTTTTTTGTTTGTTGTTTATGTTTTCGATTGTATTATCATTATATTTTTAGCGTGTGCTTCGCCAAACGTGTACAATGTAAATTTTCCTGACAGCTATTTTGGTGATGGCCATTTCATTTTTGTTTAAAAAAAAAGTCATTTGTGTTTTCTTCCAATATCATCATCATCATCATCGTTTTTTCTCTACAAACAAAAATCAATAAACGGACGCGTGCTCACGGCTTCGCTATTTACTTAGCCGCTTTGGCGTCTTGCTTGGCATCGGCAGCTGGTGTCGTTGTTGTATTGCTTGCGCCCCCTTTGTTGGCTGCATTCTTCTTTGCTTTGTGCTTTGCGCTTTTGTTTGGAATTTCAGACAAAACTAAGTCCTTCATTTCAGCATCAAGAATGTTATTTTCGCTCTCGTATTGGTTTACATCGAATGGCAAACCGGTAACCAAATTTATTCCTGACGGCATCAACAGCACCGTAAATTTGAACTGTGCAACGATTTCACCTGATGAACACATGAGAAAAGAAAGGGCAAATTAGTCAATTGGCGCTGGATTAGAATGAACGAAATGGCTTTTTTTTTGCAACACTTACTTGGTTTTTCGTAGAGAACTTGGAACGGTTCGATCATTTTATGCGATATGCATTCAACGACGCCCATTCGGGCTTTTGTCTCTTCTTCGAAATGTCGCAAGTTGAATGGCATGTTTCCGTGCTTGTTTCGTACCTAAACAAAGACATTACGTTTTAATAATTTACATTATTCGGTTTTGAATGGGAGAGAAAAATGCCGTTTTTTTTTCGCTAAAAACACACCTCCGTGATCAATGCTCGAGATGCTTTCAATTTGAGTTGATAGTTTTCGTCGGTTTTCTTGAAGATTGACACTTTTGTATCTTTTTCACGGCCAACACCTTCACCGGTGCTGATTAATACGTCGATGGCATACACTTCATGCAATGCAAATTCACATTTCTCATGCTCTTTACGTTGTGCCTCGTTCGGGTTTTGAATAATCGTTTTCTCACCATCAATTTTGCCCTGCTTCAACTGATGACTCAACATGCCCTCGATTGGCTTGCATTTGTATTCACTAGCAATTTTCTGAACGGCGTCAGTAATTGCATAGTTCTATGGATGGATAGGAAGAGAGACAGAGGGAAAGAGAGAGAAATTAATGTTGAATCAGAAAATTTCATTACACATTTTCAAAAATGGTACTTCATTTGGTGTACTTACACCCGTGCCTGGCTTGAGTAACCGCAATGCAGCTTGACTAGCCCAATATGTTGCTAGAATAACATCAGACTTTCTACCAGTGACTTTCGATGTGGCGTCCGATTTGGCAACCACCGTATGCGCTGCAACAGCGATGAAGCCATCAATGTGTGCACCCAAATCAATTTTAACAACATCACCCTCTTTCAGCACATAGTCGGGGTCATTTTTCGTTGGCGAGAAATGGCAAATGCAATTATTCACCGATAAACACGTTGGAAAAGCGATTCCTTTTTTAATATCCTTCTCCTTCTTGAAGACCTGCACATTGACAAACCATACAAAACATTCAATTAAATACCGCCAGAATGATACTGAGTTTGCCACATCTAGCGCATGAATTTACCTTTGAGGTTTCGTCCAACAATAATTGATCACCTTTTTCGCAAATCTCTTTGACCGACTTCCCTGGAGCCACTTCACTCAACAACACTTTCAATGTTCCTGTGTGGGAGGGGGGAAAGACAATTAATTTAGTGATTGATTCAATAGTCCAAAGTTGCGGTCGAATTTGGATAGAGAAAGGTCAGCTTCATTTGTGCGGAGAAAATTGAGGTTAGGTTTTGCCATTTCCATTGTGAAATTCTATTTACATAGAAAAAAATTGTGAATAGATGGGCATAGTTTTTTTTGGCAATTTAGTCTACATGTAGTTCAAAAGACAAGATTCTTCCATGCATATGCTTGAAATTGTGGGAATTTAATTTGATACCAAGCGTAAAATACCGCGTGGCTTTGGCAGATACCGACGTAAACATCGCACTGAAATATCTGATTTTTAGGTTATTGCTCCTACGCATTGTTATTCGCTTTTCAGCATGCATTTGATATGAATTGAATGGATTACATTTTGGTATTGGAAAAGCAGTAAATTCACAACAATTTGATTTGTTATTCAGAAGATAGGCGCATGTTCAGTGCAATGTGGCCCAAGATCCGCTTGGTAATGAATGGCTTGGCCATTGGCTTCATTCCGTCCCGTTCCGTTCCTTTCCACCCGACAAATCATCACACTTACTATTTACAATTTCTCCAGCAAGTTTATATTTAGTGACCACGATATCTTCCGAAATGGTCTTTTCAACGTCCTTTTCTTCAGTAGCAGCCATAATTCACGGGATTATTTTCTTTATACTGAACGTTCCCCACACATCGAGAGAAGAAAAAGAGGAAAAATGCAATTAAAAATCAATGTATTTTTAAAATCAAGCAATGACATCAACTTTGCGAGAACAATTCACGCAATTTTGGCAAATGTATCAATGATAAAATCGGAAAAATACTGATAGAAAGTGTAATGTATCTTACTTCTGCAAATGAATAATGAGAATAAAACAACAGCAATAGCGGTAGACACGATTTTGAGGTAACAACGTATACATTCAACATGAGACGTGTACGCTTTTGTCACGCTATTTTCGACGCAATACATCTGTGCGTGTGTGAGGCAACCATCGAAATTTATCGAGTGTGCTGCTTCGAAATGATACGGTGGTAGCAGCACGAACTAGATGCTTTTGACAACTTGAAAATCCGTTTTTTATTTGAAATTTATTTCATCATAAATTGAACCTAATTGCTTATCATTGCCCGTGTGAAAAAGAAATGACTGACTGACTATAACTTCAGTTGACTTTAGTTGATTGTTCTAAGAAAATCACTTGGTCCCAAATGAAGCAACTTAGATTGACTTGTAACTTCAAATGATTTCAGTTAACTATGATAGACTTACACTACACTTTGTACTGAAATGTCAATCAAAGTAAGTCATTTTTGTCCCAAATTAGTTAACTGACTGGTCAGTTACTATTTTTTCACACGGGTGTTCACTTATTTTCGCGAAATGAATCCAATATTTATGTTTTCTTCCACAATAAGGTACCTCATTGATTGAAACGCTTTTGATTGCGCTCAATTTAAGGGTATGTGTAAATATAGAGAGAAAAAAACTTACCTTGAACTTGTAAACACAAGGATAGCTATAAAAAATAAGAAAATCCCAAAATTCAAAGAGAATGATACGTCCTTAGCAGCTCTTTTTGCTTTTACAAAACATTTTAGTCCTTTTAAAATTGGATATAATAGACGGTGGAGATACTGCATTATCATTTGTTTGAATGGAGTCAAAGTACATATGCATGAGTACTTTGGAATGTATTTAAATATCTGAGTTATCTGAGTGGTTTACTATTATGCCGAGTACTCCGATTCGGTTTTATAGCAACAACGAGAATCGTTCAAATTGCAAGGGAGGCTTGAAAAGTGCTATTGAAAAATCAACAGTTTGTTCTTCATACATTTTACTTTAATACATTATCATTAGTTTTATATGTATAATCTTTGGTTTGCAAGATTTGTTTTTTTTTTGTTTTTTTTTTTCCATTGTCACTACAGTAGCTTATACTTATATCGTATGGAAAATTGAATTCTAACGAAAGAAAACAAAATAATATGCTTAAAATAAAATCAGTATTGTACATTGTATATGTTTTCTTCTCATTGCATTGAATGAAATGGAAATCGCTCAAATATATTATTTTAAAATTGTGATGTTCGATAGAACAGAAGATTTCCATGACACAAATTTTGACATCATCACATAGTGGGGCCATTGAAACATATTGATTATGTTTCAATGATGATATATTCCAATTTACCAGATTAAGTTTGGTCGTTGAAATAACTTTTGATTGTGACCGATAAAGTAATGCCATATAATTAATGAGAGATTCAATATACTGGATCAGATCATTCCAATTTTCTGTGATTGTTTTCCATTCAACGGATTTCCAAAAAAAAAATATAAACAATATTTAGTATTTATGATTTTTATGAAGTTTTTCGTTTCTTCACAACAGTTTCATTTTTGGAATTGAAACTAACACATTTGGCTATCGCAAAAAAGATGACCGTTTTTTCTGGTTTTCTGAATATCAACATTCTTACATGCCAAAATACAAAATACAAAATATAATTTATGCGTATTCTTTTCAATGCTCTATACAAATAGGAGAATACCCTTTCTCCTATGAGTAGATCGAAAGAGAATGCTTCTTAACTCGTGTTAATGTTAGCTTTGAGAAGTGTTTTTGATAGTTATAGCCAAGAAATTTCAATCACATTTTCCATCCATCATGTGTTTCAGTTTTTTTTTTTTTGTAATTTATTCTGTAATAATTCTGACACATGGATGCGTGTGTACAATTTCGACTTAAAGTTTTTTTTCTTCTTTCAGAAATAATTTTAGATTTGGTTTTTATGTGAATATGCAATTTAGGAGGGTGGGATGTAATCAAAATTTAGATTTTATTCTAAAGAGAATACACGAGCTCACACAATAATATTGACATGATATTTGTTTGTGTCGGCTCGAATTACGAACATCCATTTATGAGTGTATGTACAAAAGTTTATTTGATTGCCCAACAGATTTAAGAGGATCAAATTATCAATCACAACAAACGCATATATTCAAGTTAAAGTTAGTCGACACTGTCAAAGTGACTTGAGTTTCAATCAGATGGATTCATTGTGTGCGTGTGTGCGCATCTTTGTCTGTTTTTCTTTTTTACATTTTATTTTATGGTGAGCTTTATCTATACGATATGTTTCTAGTCACTTACTGGGATTGTGGAAGCTACGACATCGATATGGTTTGAGTAATGTGTGTGTGTATGTGCTTCATTTGTGTCACAAATTGAGACTAAGAGATTTTCTCCTTGAAGGGATAGAAATTAATGATTTTCTACTTTTACTCGCCACACATCCCATGTTGTGCTCATTGAACGCACAAAGGGAACACTTTATAGCCCATCCCATTGTTGGTTGTGTTTGACTTTATATCATTTCAGAATGAGTTATAAACTTAAGCGTGTGAAGTGGGCATTGAACATACCAAAAGTATTGTACTCATTGACAGGGAATGAATGAATGAAACCAGAATGGAAAACTATGTGGAGTATTGGCAATTAGTATATGTGTCAATTTGCATAATATTGATGCTTTCACGCATAATATATAGCAATATCAAGTTTCATTTCTAATACTGTAATAAACTTATAGTACTTGTCCATTTTAAATATTCGTAGCAATTATATGTTAGGCAAAACACTTCTCATCGTTCCAAAATAATACACAACTGGCATCGGAAATTGTGTTTGTTTTTTTTTTTGCTTTTTTGCACTAAATTTGAACAACCCATTTCGAAGACTCATTTAACTTTGTAAATTTATTTATTGGTGTTGCAAATGAAAAAAAAATGCGTTGAATCTCTACGAGAGCATGAAACAGTTGTGTACATCGTAAGTTAGGCCAAGAACATCTATATATTAATACGTATATGTAATTTATATTTTATTCAAATGAATGCTGTAGAAATTGTTTCTGCGAGAAGCAAATAGAACGTGTCATATAGGACCGTTTAGTCACTCATACATATTGTTTATATTTGGTTTATGATGTTGATTTTGAGCGAGATTCACATATCGATTTTCGGACGTGAGCTTTTTTTCGAAATGGTAGTAATCATGCAGCTCGTCTCTGTCGATGTGTAGTTTTCTTGTTCTCGATTTCTGGCGGCAATAGCATTAAGATGACAAAAAATACAATGCTATACATTGAACGCTGCAAGCAACCTATCAAAGTGCTAATATTCGGTGTGGCGCAGTTTTCGACCAAAATTATCAACAGCAATAAATATGTTATTCATTTCATCTGAATCATCGAGTGATTTGTTTTTGTTTCGATGACGATCTAACTTATTAATAATACATAATTTATTACAAAAAATATATTCATTTACTCTTTATCATCACTTTGTTTGATAGTTCTAGAAGGTTGGGAGGATTGTCGATGGATTGAACATTATATTGAAAGTTTCACATTTTTTTTTTGTCTAAAAATCTCAACATATCTGTTGAGAAAAGCGGAAAGCTACACTGTTAAACTGAATGGATTTCATATTGATAATTTAGGAAGTTTTAGCACAAAACTCCGAAAGGATGAAGAGCTAATTTCAAATGCTAATAACATACAAAAAGTATTTTTTTTTTCAATTCATTTAAAAGGTTTGATTAATAAATCTATCAGTCCAATGTTTCATATGATTTATTTTCTATAAAACATATTTCCACAGTTAAATACAACACGAACGAATCGTTTTGATTTTATTTTATAAAGTATTCAGTATACTGTGCAAGTCGATTCCCATAACACTGACGTGGCATGAAATGTTCAACCAAATGTGACTGTGATAAACATTGAAAAATAGTGAGGGTTCAATACCATATCAACTCTCGCCGGTCATGGGAGTTTCACTTTTGGCGTGGTCTCCAGTTAAGACTCTCATGATAAAGTGTAATATTTGTAAGTTCTATGTAATAAAGATTTAAGCTGAGAATCCCCCAATTATCGATCGAAAATCCATTCTCTTTCACAGTGTATACCAGGAAAGAGTATTTTTTTTAGCTACAGATTAATTCTTAAGTGTATGGTCAATTTGTGTATGTGTGTTTGTTTAAGATTGTTGTGTGAGCTTAACCCTCATTTCGTTTCGGATGATTTATTTTTCTCATTTAATTTTATATGATATACTAGTATGTGTATATATTTAAATTTCATTTCCGAACCAAGCCTGTTTAGAGATTGTTATTACAGTTGAACATTGATTAATTTTCAATCTGAGATCTTGTTATGTACATGTTGGATATTTTTCTTATGAATCATACAGGTCAGCAATGTCTCAGTTTGCAAATCAATTTTTCTTTCATTTGTTTACACTTATGCTTTGCAAAGTTCGGTTATGATCTCTTGTCATCTAAAAACTATTCTTAAATTCCTTCAATATATATATATAAATATATATATATATATAGATCCCTACATGTATATGTTCAGTGCTTTCAATAAAAAGCACAGCAATTTGTTTTTCTATGCAATATCGACTGAAATTATTACACCGCTCCTGCTTCATTTGTCATCAGTCCAATGTGATTGTTGTTCGTTTCAATTTGGTTATTATCTATCAATTATTTTTACATTTCTGAATAAATATTAAAACCACACATAAGTATTATTTTATCTTTCACTTGAATCATCAATATATATATTCCATTCAATTTTGTACCATCTTGTTACAATACTTGTTTGTCGTTTTCACAATAAATTTTTAAAAAATATCATTCCATTTTTGTTTTCATTTGATTTATATTTCCCCAATAAAATAATAGGGGGAGTATGTGTAAGTTGACCCACTTTTTAAGTTGACCCACCCCGCCGATTTTGTATTTCGACCGACAATTCGTCAATTTGGCTAGTCTCAATCGATTTAGAAACGTCAAAAACCAATATAAAAGTAGTTTCCAAGAGTGAATACGCTTCTTAAACGGCTCGGATCGGCTCATGAAAATTGTTTGCAAAAAAAAAAATAATTTTTATAAAAACTAAATTTTTTCGGACCATCATCAAGTAGACAATTTCAAAGATATCAGCAAAGTGAGTATAAGCTTTCTTTACTAGTTTTTCGTGTATTTTCATAATCCGAAGTCATTTCACACATATCACTACATGGCGAAATTCTTTCCGTGCATATTGAAATTTCGACCAATTTTGTAAGTTGACCCACCCGAAAAAAAATCAGAAAAATGAGACAACTATTTAGCGTAAACACTCAATATACGAGATTCATTGAATTTTAATGATTTTCCAATCGTTTTCGGATTTGAAAAACACGTAAAAATCGATGAAATATGGAAAATAGAGAATATGTATTTTTTTTCTATTTCTATGTTTTTCTAATTTTTTTCATTGTATTTCGTAGTTGTAAAGACCGAAAACGATTGAAAATCCATCGAAATTCAATGAATTTCATATATTGAGTGTTAATACTGCATGTTTTTCTAAAAAAATAGGGTGGGTCAACTTACAAAGAAAAAATTTTGTTGCCAAAAATCAGACCTCTTAGAAAATTGATCGAAATGTTTTGTTTTTACAACCAAAGCTAATGAATTTCCTGATCAAATTGTAGCTTTTTTGGCTCTCTTTCTAATGGTATATCAAGTGTGCATTTATATTAATTCCATAAAAAGTTATGACTAAAATGATTAGTGCGAGTCAACCTACACATAATTCCCCTATATATATATATACACACGCATACAATCTTGTATTGAATACATACAAAATACGAAGTGTGAAGTTGTAGAGCGCCGACCATAAATGACGGCAAAATTCAACACTAATTAGTGTGATTTCGTAACATTTCACAATATGTCGAAATCACTTTCGGCTATTTACAGCTGATTTTGCCGTCAATTATGGATGGCGCTCTACAATTGTTCAAATTCTGACAATAAGCGGGTGTATACACATTATTCATTTATGAGACGTAAAAGAGCGTAGTTTTGTTTAACTTTGTTTCAATAACGGAGTATGTGGGCCATTTTCGTGGGTCGTCGTGATTTTTTGCCATTTGTAATTTATATTCAACTTATAAGAGATTACGGTTTACGGCAGAGTCATCAAACACCTTAAATGTTACCTACAGCCTACAGCAAAGACACGAAACAGTTATCTCTTGTCGTCACGAAAACCGTGAAAATCCGCAACAATCACAAACAATAAACATACTCTCCTTTAACGTAAACAGAATCATTAAAAAACGATACTTTCCTTTTCAAAGATATAAATCGAAAAAAAAACATACTTTCTTTTACGTCTCATTTTTGCAATATACACAAAATCTTCTTGTGCAATTCCCGTGAAAAGTAATAGCAAACTAATGGAAAATTATAGAGTAATAGAACGGAAATTGTAGAATTTCATAATATTAGAAGCAAGTGAGTTAGTAATAGTTACAAAAGAAATTATTGAAAAAAAGTTTACTTTTTCTTTGCTATCGTCTTGATATATGCTATCACTTTTAAGGAAGTTTCCCTCTCAAATTTAAATCAAGTTTGTAAATTGTAACATAATGAAAATTAGGCCCACTAAAACTTAGGTTCGAGTATATTCCATTCATTGTATTATTTCACTGTTTTCCACAAACAGCTTCAAAAATCATGCTGACTACAGTTGTATTATATTTAATTACATACACCTACGCATAATGTTTGTCATAAATAAAATATAAAACTAGATTGGAACAAAGAGATTGATTGGATCATCATTTGTCTCTGTCCAGCACCGAATGCATTTCGTTTTCGCTTCATCATCGGTTGGGTGGTTGGTATAGCCAAATGGGGTGTTATGATATATCGTTGCGTTTTGAGTTATCTTGTATTGCATTTATATGAAGAGGGCTATTCAAACGTATATGTGGAAATGTGTGGCCACCTTGTAATTCGTATTGGTTTGCGTATCGTTCAGCAACGAATGAATAAAACGCGTGCATAAGCAAGGTGAAGCCACCCATAAATGAATATATCCCTCTCTATCTTATTGTGCTCATCTTTTTTGCCATGTCAAAAAAGAAGCAAAAACACTGTCCTATTTGGGCTTTTTATCGGTGAGCCGTTTTTCCGAAGATGAAGCGCTCAATGTGCGGTTCAATTTGCTCTTTGAGCCTTTGTGTGATTTTGAGAATTCGTCATGGGGATCACGACGTGTGCACGAGGATCGACGACGCCCGGTGAGACATAACGAATTGAAAATGTTGCCGTCACTGTTGTCACAATTACCTTGACTGTCCTGGAATGAGGAACGCCGTGAGCCGCACGCACTGCCGGGTAATGAATGCGAATAATCTTTGCCCAATTGATATTGTTCGACATTGAGCTGCTCAGATTGCGATGAACCGCGACGTGAATTACTTGTCCATGCATGATCTGGATGAAGCAGTGAAGATACATCACCGATGGAATCAACGTCATCGGATGATGAGCTTCGCATGTGTTCACCACGATGCAAACGAGCGCTGTGGCCCGTTTCACCGCTATGGATTGTTGGCTTTGTTCTATCGCTCTTATTCGAGACTTCCAACGAGATCGGACGAAGTGTGGATGCTTTTGCATTACTGGCCGAGTCTAGTGATAGATTTCCCTGATTGCTAGAACCATCATTTTGCTCTTCAAGACGACCCCAAATGGCGCCATCACCATCTAGCAACGCTTTCTGAATGTCGACTGTGCACACGCCTAAAAATACAAATTCCGCATGCGAACCGCCCATCACCATGTCCCATAGTTCGATTTCAACATGACGCTTAAGCAACTCATCAGCCTTCACAGCCTGAAATGTAAGAGTCGCATTCCAAATGGGATTCTGTGTGGGTGCTGACACCTCAGTACGTTCAACATGACCATTGTACCTGAAATATGAAATTTAATCGTTTGTATGTTTGAGTTGATTTACTTTTGCTTTACTTCATTTTGATTACGGGTTCCGTCACGGTTTCCGTCAATCAAAATATGCTGATGATTTACTCATTTTTTTCTTGTTTTGCCAAAATTGTGTGGTTTGCTTTCCGCTTTGATTGAGTTGTGTATTTTACGCACACACACATAATAAAATGGATGTTAAAAACGAAATACTTTTATCTGGTATGTAAATGATGGATGCGATATACGACATTCAATACTTAAATACAGTTTTCTGTGCGTTAAAAACTAGATGAGAATACCAAATTGAACAACTATAATTTAAATAAATATACTCATATTGCTTTGATGATGCAGTTGTTGCAGAAGGGGCATTTACAAGCGCCTTCGTATGCCTCTTTTTGCGTTTTTTTCTTTCTTTCAAATGGTTAATCATTGAGAGAATGTCCATTCGGCACATCGGTGGTCTAAAATAATAGGTACTTACTACCTTTACGTGTACAGTGCACAAATGCCGTTGTGAAGGAAACATGTTCATCCTAGAAATAAACCGCTGAGGGGGAGAGAGAGAGAGTTATACAAAAATGTGGAGCATTGAAACAAGCCGAGCAAATTGGTCGCCACAAGTGAGTTGAAGCGAAACCATTTAATGCATGAGCATCTCCGTATTACAACAATGCACTTGTTGTCCAACGAGGACAACGAACATTGGCAACGCCGAGATACAAAAGGGGAGACACAGCGACAGTGGGAGAGTTACGACAGAATATTTTAATTCAATCTTCAAGAGTCATAGATCATCTTCGCTTTAGGTGTTGTGTTTTTCATTATTCATTGCTCGTTATCAACTGGGCGTACTTCTAACTATTAAGCCATCTGGAAAATTCACCTAATTCAGGTCACATTTTGCAACAAAGCAAAGTAGAAGTGAAGAATGCTGTAGAGATAGAATAGCGAGTGTATACTCAATGTGATGATGATTCTTAGTTTTAAACTCGTCTTTTTCCATTTCGATGCGTTTTGTTTGCGACAGCAATAATAATAGCTTTTCACTGGGTGTTTTTTGTCATAATGAGTGGATGAAAGTCATGGACTCAAACTTATCTATTGTTGTCGCAAAATGAATAGAAAAAAAATCTCCTTGTTGACTACATTTTTGTTTTATACCCCATATCGAATGAAACGGTTTTCGTAAATCTCGTTGAGTTTTAAAATTCTTTCGCAATGCCCACGCCACACAAAGAGAGAGGAAGTACAAATTGAAGTGATTCTATTGTACAGAATCCATAAGAGTTAAAAACTGAAATAATTATTGTAGGAGGTGTAATGAACTGAAACTTGATAAGAGTATGAAAACAAAAGCCAAAAACAATCAAATGAACTATTTTGTCTATGCAACAGCATAATGTGTTTTGAATTCAATGTTGAAGACTTCATTCAAAGTTGCTCTTTAGCTCATTTTTTGTCTGTATTATGGCATGGTTATTCGAAAGCAATATCACGGTGCAAATATCAATGAGACAAGTACAAGTACAAGTTGTGAGTAAAAGAGTGAAAAAGCGATAGAGAAAAGGAGAGAGAAGAAGGGAATATGGGAAATGTATCGCCCAAACCAAAATCCAAAAACAGAAAATAGAACAACCAAAAAGGCCAAACACGTCCGTTCGTCAATCGACCAGTATATTTTAATTTGAACCAAAAAAAAACTCAAAGAGTGTCTTCAATGATCTTTACTCATGAGCATGTAACGAAAGAGAAATTCATTTCCCGGGCATCAACGGTTCTGATGAAAAATGTTTAACGAGGGAAATCCACAAAATGGACTAGCTGCGTGAATGGCATTTCATCAACATTATGCAAAAAAAAAACTTCGGTGCTCAATTCAATTGGTGCTTGTGTTGATTTAATATGAATACATGTGATATTGTGGCATTGCATTGACTCGTGTACCGAAATATAAGCTCCTGTTGTATGTGTGTGTGTAAAAAATCATTTTTGCCTTTTTAAATAAAAAAAAACTGAAAATCTCACCAAATTAATTTATGAACAAATAAAAAGAAAGATCGCAAACGCTAGAAACAAACACGAAATTTATCGTTTATCACTGCAGACACGCACCAAAAATGTAAAAGAAACAAATGAAAACAGCGCTAAGACAACTATACTCAATTTTCTAAATCCGATCGAACAAAAAAAGACCAGTCAAAGACCAAATGACCACACGAACAATAAAAAACAGAACCAAAAAATCGACCAAACGTCTTCAAATACGATAAGAAGCGCAATTCCAAAATCCAACGATACACGTACGCAAATGAACTATGCAATGTTGATTGATAGTGTCTATGTGTGGAAAATGGGTATGAATTCAACGAAGAATATTCGTGTGGAATATCAGAATGCGGCTGAGCATTTGATATAAAAACAAAAACGACAAAATTACAATGGTGAAACAGCCATTTAAAAAGAACACAACAGCAATTACAAAAAAAAAATTACCAACTGATACTAGTTTTAGTCATTTATGGTGGGAGAAACATAACGAACAAATAAACAAATTTACGATCCAATAGCGTTTCAAAAAACATTTAAATAATCAATTGGTATTGCATTAAGAAGGACAGAACAGAACAAGTGAACAGATGTATGTACTTCTCCGAATTCTCGGTGACCGAGAGTTTCGCTTTGGTTTTATGATTTGTTCAATTGAATCTATATAATTTGAACACGGTAACATCGACAGGAATGGGCTCTGAAATGAGTGTCTCGATTGAATGTAGGTATGCTTCTGTGTGTATGTGTGTATGTGTGTGTGTGTGTGTGTGTTTTCTGTGTTTGGTGGAGTGCGTGTGCATTTGCTGGTGGAGTGCATGTGTCTGTTTGTGTTTGTGTTTTGGATCTATGAATGACAGTGGGAAAAATGCGCGACAGAGATAGATATAGAGAAAAATAGAGTGTGTGGTCGTGTGGTGAATGGCATGTGACGTGTTGCATACACGGAATGTAAGCATTAACCACTTTGGTACATATGGCTTACTTGTAGAAAAAATTGCTTCAGTAGTTGGATTTGTTTTTGTGTTTGTTTTGGTTTTACGTACATTTTGGGTAAAATGCGGACTTTGGCGAATGTTTCTGGTAATTTACCATCATCTCTGAGTTTCAAGTTGTCTGCAGCCATTAGGGATACAACTAATTCTTCACGATCAGTGTGATAGCTTAATTCGAATTGTACTCGCCCTGATACTTTTTCTTTTAGTTGTCTCTAAAATAACACACAAAAGATGTTAGAACCATTAGTCTTTTAGTTTTGTTTTGTTTTTTTTTTTACAAAGAATTGTTTATAGATTTTGTGGTTTTGATACTAATATGTTGTTGATTGGCTTATCAATTGAATTGTGAAGTTTCTGATGTAATATAAAATGCTAACAAAATATCGAAATATCGTCCAGTGAAAATATGTGACAACGAACAATAATAACTCAACTAAAACTTAAAACTAAACTCAAAATGCAATGGCAAATAAATTCAAACAGCACGAAAAACAATAATATTCGTCTCCAATACGTTCTAGTTTCACTTTCTTACAGTAAGGAAATTGCACGCTTTTTAATTTTAGTAATTTGGCAGATTTAATGTAATAAATTTAGAATTTATATATAATTTTTTAATTTTTTTAAAAAGTTTGAGCAGTTTTGACGCAGCAACCGTCACGCCATCCAAATGTGGTGTTCAAAGGATGAAACATTGTCGCCGAACGATTCGTTTTGCAAATGTCACTCAGCACAGCGGCTCATTGGTGTAGGAACATTGACAAGAAATTGGCGCACATTTTTTTGAGTGAACATTCAACGAAAAAAGGCAATTTTTTTGCGAAATAGTTGCTTTAATTGCGAGACCAAAACCCTTTTACAGGTATGTACGGCTAAGAATAGAGTTTTTGCACAAATTAAATTGTGGATTATTTTGGAAATTGTTGTGAAATTGTTATTTCGTCATACCGGTTCACATTTTCATGTTCAATGACATGTTCAAAGCGGAAAAAATCGCAATATTCTAGACCGATTGCATTGATTGACGCGAATAAATCAATATAAATTAATTCGATCACAACAAGTTTTCCCATTTTTTTTGTTACCAATTACAATTAATGGATTGTGGTTTTTTTTCCAAAAGTTATTTCGCAATTTTGAGGCGAGATCTGCATTGAGACAGGGAGACAGAAAGCAAACGAAGCCTGATCTATTCAAATCGTTTGGATTCATACGAAGTGGACTTATTGTGACCGAGGTGAGTTTAGTGAACGTAGAAAATTGCAACAAATTAGCGTAAAATCATGTTTTTGCGTGTGGTGTACATGTTTCGACATGATTTATCGCGACGGACTGATGAATATCATCACATTGTTATCGTATTCGTTTGAAGCGATCAATCAGAGCATTGTTCTCGATTTCCGTAGCGTTAGCCAATTTCACAATCGCTTGCAACAAACATTTCATTCGTTCTCGAATTGTGGTTTTTTTTCCAAAGATTATTTCGCAATTTTGAGGCGAGATCTGCATTGAGACAGGTAGACAGAGAGCAAACGAAGCCTGATCTATTCAAATCGTTTGGATTCATACGAAGTGGACGTATTGTGACCGAGGTGAGTTTAGTGAACGTAGAAAATTGCAACAAATTAGCGTAAAATCATGTTTTTGCGTGTGGTGTACATGTTTCGACATGATTTATGGCGACGGACTGATGAATATCATCACATTGTTATCGTATTCGTTTAAAGCGATCAATCAGTGCATTGTTTTCGATTTCCGTAGCGTTAGCCAATTTCACAATCGCTTGCAACAAACATTTCATTCGTTCTACAATTTATTTTCTCTCGTTTAGATCCATCGCGATGGCGAGGCGTAAGCGGCACAATAAGACGTTTGGTAAGCCAAGGGAGAACAAAGTCCAGATGAAAAAGCACTCAATTGTGAAGAAAAAACGTGTCAATCGGAAAGAAGATCCAGAAAAACAGTCGACAGATAATGGCACAATCGAAATCGGCGCGATCAAATTGGCATTTAATTCGATAATTAATCCGAAGTTAACAGAAACAGAAAGAGGAATTTCTGATCCATAAGTTCTTCGAGAAATGTTTGAATGCTACGAAAGTCATGCATCTTGCATCGATGTTAATGCTCTACACAATTAACGAAGCATTTGATGATGGCAATTTGGACTTCTTCGTGAATCAAAACGGAGCAAATTTGATTACAGACTGTTTCAACTGTGTCACATCGAACAACATCAACGATCCACTCACAGCCCAAATGCCAGACGCATTTCTCGCGATGGTGACCCAAGGTAGCCCCAACTTTGAATGGCCACGCCGCCATCAAATGACTCGCCAAGTTTATGCTCTCAAGGACCAGTATGTGGCCAATGTGAAGACAAATTTGGAGACGCACTGTTAAGTGAGATTGACCCACTTTCTACGTGTAAAGTGCCATGAATTCAATCACAAAGGAAGCCCACTTGGCGTTATTTATGATGCATCATACTTGCCTTTCGATGACATTGACATTCGAAATACGATGAAAAATAGCATGTTGCAATTTACTTTTGAAATGTACCTCACATTAGTTCAAATGAAAGCCGTCATGTAATCATACGAACAGCGCTCAAATCGTTTTGTAGAATTTTCATACAAAATGACAGTGAGGCACTTTTGCAACATGCTATTTGATGTACAATGAAGATTGGACTTATGATGATGATGAAAGTCGAAAGTCGAAGATGGAAATACTGTTTAAGGAAGTGTCTCAGCTTTGTGGCCCATCATTCGTAAAATACTTCACAATGTACGAATACATTCAAAAGGACTGGTTCGAGTCTTTGTGGATGTGGATAGGCATGCAACGAATTGTAGAGAAATTTTTGATCGATACGGCTCACCTTCGTGAACAGTGGAAAGCATACGATCGTGATCCAGTGAACAATCGAGAGCCGTCGGTACCGAAGATACCAAAAGTGAAGAATTTCGCCGCTATTCCACTCTGTGATACAAAACTGAAGCACATACCATTCGACCATAATGACTTGATTGATATCATTGGCCAGTTGAGAAATGAACGGGGATGGGATATCCGTGCTGATTATCGTACATACTACAAGCAAGGCGAGAACAAAGACGAGGCATGGGGAATTGTGTTCGATATGGACAAAATCAGACAGCTCAGAACCGGTTCGAAAGAGTTTTACCACAAAATTCAAACCAACAGTAGTGCCGTGTCGGTGTTGTTTAGCAGACCCAAACGCAAAGGAGCCGGCGTGACTCTGTCTGAAATCAAAGCAAAGTACGAAAAGCCAGTCAGCAAAGGCGGTTACAAGTATGAGTCAGGAATTGATCCCGGCCAGAAAACAAAAATGGCCTGCGTGCGTCGGACTCTCGCTACTGGAATTGAAGTAAGTTGAAATATCATATGAAAATTAACATAGATTTGTATTGTTGTTGTTCATTTCACAGACCAACATCAAATTATCGAGTATTCAATATCACTGGGGTGCGCGACAAGGAATGCGCGACAAACAGGCCACGAAAATGACCAGAAAGTACGTGCTCAAAGAACAGCGCGACTTGAAAAGCTATCCGATCACATCCGTATCGCCGCGAGGATCACAATGGAAATCATTCATTAAGCACAAAATCAATATGCTGACAGATTCATTGGCTACATACGCCAGAAGAAAATACGCACAGCTATCGTTGCACAAGTACATCGAGTCTAATCGCGAAATGGATTTGATGGCTAAACACATAACAAACAATGAGACAGGAGTTGTATACCTTGGTGATGCGGCGTTCCCATCAAATTCGAAAATCGGTGTGAAAAGAACAAAACGATCACCGGATCAGCGAAAGTTCATAGTTAGCCTAAAAAAGAACGGCAAAACGGATGTTGTGCTTACACCAGAGCCGTATACATCACAAACCTGTGCCAATTGCTTGCGGCGATTTCCAAGAAGCACAAAAAGTGACCGATTCAAAGTATGCAAAGATTGTCGCCCACACAAGGATGTGAGACTCCCACCGATTATCGTGACTGATCGAAGCAGACGGCGCAAGCAACGTGATCGAAAACGAAATGCCAGCCAAAAGCCAACAGCAAATGTAACTAGAGCCGAAAGAGCTGAAAAGCACCGGGAAAACCGCCGAAGTGAGCGTGAAAGCCACAATCCAGAGCAATTGGATACCGAAGAGGCAGTGAGACGGTACAATCGACGCATACGACGGCGTGAACTACGTCAACGACGTCGAGTTGCAGGCCATCGCAGCCGTAAAGTAACCAAACAACCGGAAGCGGAATCCGATTTGCCAGGTTTTGTGAAAATTGGTGACACAAGTATTTGCAAGATTCGTGTCAAAAATCGTAAGGCCAAACGACAATTATGGCAGCGAATACATTACGATGCAACTGATAAAGGAATTGGGTTATTGGGGTCAAAGAAAATAGCCTTCCAGAAAAACTGGCACTCAAGCCCAATGAATGATCAGAACGCTTTTACTGCTACTTGGCATCGTGACATCTGTGCGGCGAAGTGCATCTTGTACAGAGGTATGTGATCTACACAATACAATCACATTCATGTTTTATTGTATTTCAATTTCGAGTTCAATTCGTTCATTCTAGGCCGTTGTATGGTTTTCGACTTGAATGTGCACGAATCATTTGTGTTACCACCAGAAAGGATTTGGCCAAAATGTCGAGATGACCAATCGAGTCGGCCAATCAAATGCTGTCGATGAAAAGTAGAGCGTAGATCAAAAGAATAAAATAAAACATTAACGATTAGTTATTATCAAAGCTTGATTTTTGTGGCTTTGTACATATTAAAATGTGTGTGCAAATACACGATGTAATACGGCTTAAGCCCGTAGGTAAGTTGTTGTAAGATTTTCTCAGTCAGTTGGTCAATTTCAATATCCACACCAATATTTACCAAAGTCATAAATGGACCTAGTTCAAGTGAAGCGTACAGTTGGATGATACTCGAGGTGGGTCCATTTATGACCTTGTTTCACACGTGATTTGTTATTTTGTTATCAATTGATTCATAATCGTTTTTATATCTTTCTAATTGATTTGTTTTTACCGTTTTTTTCTACTTCCATTGTGACGTTAAAAATGACTGAAACTACACACAAATGCGGGCCCTAATTCGACCGTTTACATACGCTTGGTAATGGATGTATTTGCGTCAACAATTGTTTCTTGGGTACAGTAAGGAAATTCAAAAACAGAACACCACATTGTTTAGAATGAGGATTTTTAAATATACACAATACTGAAAGTATAAAATGAAAAACGTGAATATCTGAGCCGGTAATTTATCAGTAAAAAACAAGCGAGAGTGCAGTCAAAACTACTGTCCGTGTTGAAGTAATTCAGAGATCGTTTTTGGTTATGTAAAGTTGCAAATTGATAGTCTTTGTTTGCATTTTCTGTAAAATGAGTGGAATGCCTCTAGGCAAGGTGTTCATCAAAATGGATTTGCTTTTCGGTTGGCTCGTGCCTTCGAGCGCTACTGTTGAACATTTGCTTGAGATTCGTTTGCTTGTTGCATATCTAATGTGCTTTCTACTGGTTGGTTCACCTTTTTTTCTCTAATGTTTTGCTTTTATTTTATCTGTTTGATTTTTAAAGTTGATTTAAAGCAGACTTTTTTTTGGTTCATGTGTGGGAGCTATTTGGATGAATGTTCCATTTGTTGCATCTACTCACCGACAAAAGAGATTTTGCACCGATCTGAATATTTCATCACGGCTCAATCGTTTTTGAATCACATTCGATTATTTTGTATGTTTTGTCATGATTTGTAACGTTCAGTATTTCGTCTTTGCAGAAAAAACAACAAAATATGGGTAAGAAAGAAAAGAATAGAAGAAGGAGAAGAAAGGAGAGAGTGAGAAAAAGAAAGAAATTGCGTAATAGTTTCAAGCAAATCGAATTGAAAAAAAAAGCACAACAATAACACACATTTGGTAACTTAAAAAGGTTGCGGCCTTTATTGGTGGCAAACGCTCGAGTAAACGATAGAGAAGCCACAGCATAAACTCAAACAAAAAGAAGACATGTCATCACATATTGTCAATATATTTGTTTTTCCGCCAAAAATGTGTGTTTAGAATATCGAACGAAGGTTAAATCATACGAGAAAAAAAAACAACTGGTTGACTCATCGAATATAACATTGAGCTAAATATTGCGCGACACAAAACACAATTTTATTAATATACTCGCAATGGGTGGTGACAAAGAAGCGGCCAAAATGTAATCACATAAGAACGGAAAAGAGTTCATCACAGGAAGAGACAGGTAGATGTGTAGATAGATAGAGTATAAAGTAAACTAAATATAATGAAAAACATCAACACAACGATCGAACAAAATCGATTGACTCTCTCGGACTGACACACTTTGTTTTGTTAATAATGTAAACGATGAAAATTACCCATTACCCCATTAACATTAACATTTTCTAATTCTAATTTGTCAAAATGATACATTCTCCGGCCAAAGTGGGCATTATTGGCATTCCGCGCTCTGAAATGTAATGCATTGAAAACGTGAATTACGGGATGGAGTGTGTATGCGCTTCGGAATAGGTGACTATATCGAAAATGTGGCCATGTTCCCAAAATGCCACGCGGCAGACAGACACATCGACTTGTTTCACTATGGAAATAGGATGTGACACCCTTTTTTATCGTAGCCAAAAAAAAAATACTGAACATTTTATTCGAAGCGTCTGCACTGCATTTTCATCGCACCGGAATGCAAATTACGCCCTCAAAATGCCGAATCTTGCAGTATTTACGAATGATGATGTTTAACGACAATAAAAAAAATCGAAACAACAAAAAATACAGGTCATTTAATTTTTGTTTACACTTTTGTTTAATTCCATTCAAAATTATTATTGTTTAATTTCAATCTGCTTAAAAGTTGCTCTCTTTTATTTAAATAGGGTTTGCAAACGTTTGGCAAAATAAAACCCAAACACATAGAAATTTCGTTTATTGTGATGTGTTTTCTTTAATTCGGTTTCCCTTCTCGTCTTGGTTATGTTGATAAACGGCATCAGAGAACGGATTATTTAATACGGCTTAATAACCACTGCATTGACATTTAGGATCTTGAAGAGTCTTCATAATATGTATACATATCATGTTTCCTTCTTTTTATTCTAAATATCAATTTTTGTTTGCTATTCTATATTATCATTTGAACGGCATACGCAACGTTTTCTTCACAGAAACGATAAAAAAAAACATTGTTCATATGCAAGTGATTGCAAACCCTAGATGTATCTGCTTTTTCTCTCACTGTTTCATTTCCAATCTAAAACACAATTACATTATTCATTTAAAAAAAAAAAAGTTCTTTTTTTCTCATTTAACAACTACACAGAGTTTACAGTTTTTTTTTTCTTATTTTTTTGTATCCTCACTTATTTTGCGTAACATCAATAGATTTGTTTAATTTTGTATCCTTGTTTTTATTTTATCTTGTTATTTCAGACGTCTGAATTTTCGTCTTTGTTGTGTATTTAAATGTCAGTTTATAAATAAATACACCAATGTGACGCACAACGCCATTTGTCTAAATATCGTTTCATATGTTTGTCATGAAATGAACGAAAAAAAGAGGATAACCTAATATATTTACTTAAGACTCAGATTTCAGAAAGCGAGCGGAAATTTTTTAGCTATCAACAGTTGCGATGCATGAGGACATTCATATACGTTGTTCTACCACAAACTGCCAAGCACAAATTTGGCGTTTTTTTTTGTTATCATGCATCCAAATGAAAAAGGTTATTCGGATTTGTTTGAAAGAATTGTTTAATACACAAACCGAATGAGCGTCGAAAGGTGAAATTCATATTTGCACCGTAAAGGGTTATAAAAAATATCTCTCATTTAATATACGTGTTCTTTTTTTTTACCGATATATGCTTTTTTTCTTCTTCCAAGTATTCAACAAAAATGGTGACAAAAAGTTTTATTTCATTCTAGGTTTTGGTGAATCGAAACAAAGAAAACTGAATTGCTTTAATTGAAACCATTATTTCTGTGTTTTTTTTTTTTAAATATGAGTTTTCGTTTGCTAGTTTTTCACAATGAACATAATTATTTAATAAAAAAAAAATATCTGAAGAAAAACGACGAATAATGAGATATCGATTGTCATTAATTTGAAGACATAGTACTATACTGTATTTCACTCATCTGCATTTTTCTTTTTTTTTTTGTTAATTCAATCAAAATTTGGCTTTCTCATGAATTTAAGGCGCTTTTAAGGAATTGTTGATCTCGTTTTATTCTTCATTTTATATCGCTCACGCTCAATATTTGTTTCCATTTAGAGTGATTGGTGGTGAGAGTGTCCATATGTTTTTATTTTCTTTTTAAATCTTTTACTTGTGCTTAGAATAAAGTATCTAATGGTGAATTAGAGGAAAAGTACGCCTTTAATCATATTTACGTAAATTACGCAAATATTAACGAATTCAATGTTGATGTTTTTGTTTTTTTTTTTGCTTTCGAACTAATATACTTTCTTTTCCAACTCATTAATAGATATGTTGGCTATCACTTGAATGTTTGTATCTATTTTTTGTCAAGCAATATCCAAATGCGGTGTGTTGTAAATTCAATCTATTTCGTTTCAGGGAAAGAAATAGGGAAAAGGATGGAGCTTATTGAGTACCACAACACCACGACAGCGGAACAGAGTAGAATAGAACAGAATATAGAGATAGAAAATAGTCGTAGGAATATAAATATGCATATATATGAGACTCATATAGATTACTAGTAAAAAAAAATTCCCCGTAATTTTACAATCTTTGAATGTAATGTATTAAGTACGCGCGGGTGGAAAAAACACATCCTTGTAATTTATTTTCTGTGAAAAGAAAATTCCACAACAATTTTCACACTCGATTGAATCACATTTCAACATATTGATTCAGTTTTAAGTTCGCGTAATCGCATTTCTTTGTTTCTTCTTCATTTGACCCATATTTCAAAATTCCTTCGTCGTTTGATATTTCAAGCTGAAAGTTATGAATAAATATTCTACTCTCATTATTTTTCGAACAATTGGGTGTAAACTTGTAAAAAATTTACTTTGATTGTTGGCTTGCTTGTCATTCGATTACTGCACTTCTCACAACACAACAGTTTCTGTTCACATTGACAAGCATGCTAGTCGGAAGATGTATATTACTATTATGATGTTTTACTATTTGGATCGATCCATTATAAATTTTACTCAATTGATTTGTTTTCCCTTGTTGCCGCTCCTGTGATTGTGTTCATATTTATGTTTATATCAATACCTATGTTCGGGTGTGTGTGTGTGTGTGTGTGTGTGTGTCTAATTTTCAGACCAATCGACAATCACATTTTCAACGATGATAATGTCTCATAACTCATTTCTTCTTAATTTAGGTATTTTATCTATGTATGTATTCTCATTTTTTTATTGTTGTTTTCTTCTACTAAAATTTATGTTGCAGACTTCCATATTGGAAGCTTAGTCACGTTTAAATTTATACTCATATTTTTTACACCTTTATATAAATATTTTTGCCCACTATTATTTATGTTCATGAATTACTAATACCAATATTATCATTTCTCTAAACCATTTATTCATTTATCTTGACATAGTTGTATCTGAGGTCAGAAAACATTTGGCTGGCATTAAAAATAAGTAGAAGCAAGGACATATTTCACTTCTTTTCTATATCACACATGGTCTATCATTCACTTTAAATCCCATTCTCACGATTTGCTTTGAATTATTCAACTAATTATTATGACTTCATCAGTGCAAATGAACTGTAGCTCGAGATGCAATGAAATGGTTTGGAAATATGAGCGGAATTTGAATGGGCTATTAAAACAACACCAATTTTAAATATGGGTGCATTCATTATACCTCCCTGAAAATTTGACTTTTCTTGAAGGATACAACCTAGACATCCAATCAAAACTTATTGGAACATAAATAATAATGGAAAATATTGATCGTTCTATTGATGTCCACCTGATGAAGGAACTATGCAGTTGGAGGGGGTTAAATTAAAACTTGTTGTCGCCATTCACTCGGGATATTTTGGGGCCCATCCACAAAATCACTTAAAATCATGATTTGTTCGAAAAGCCGTCCGCGATATAACTCGCAAGTTATAAACTATTGTTTAAAATAGAAGAATCATCACGAAGAAACACGCACACATACACAGATAGAGTTTTGCAACTCGTTCGATGCAGAAATTGTATTGCCACAAAAATCGTATTTGTAAATATTGTTACTAAACAAAAACGAAGTTCCTATGCTCATATAAAAAACACAGTGCTCATGCCATTTTTTCCTCAGGTTACGATTTTCAAATGCCACATTCACTACTGTGTTGACGACAACGTTCAATATGTGTACGATGACAGTGACTCAATTTGTTTCAATCTGTGCTTGTGTAGGGGTCTCTTTAGTCTACCCGTCATATCATTTAATTCAACGTTGCTGATTTGTTAAGTAATAGGTCTGCTTATTTTTCTGAGAGCAAAGAAAACCAATTTTTCTGTACATTTTGCATAAGAAACCCACAATTGCTTGGTTGGACATAGAAACCGTAGGATTGTAAGCAATTCTAATTTGGTATTTGTTGTGTGGAAATCTTTTGAATTGCGTTTTGGCAATTAGAATTGTGAATAATTTTTTGGAGGGTTCTTTAACAGTGAAACACCCACTTTCCTATAATTTGCGACAACAGTATGCCGAAGTTCGCTTCATAAACCGCCCATCAATTGTTTTGAATGTTAAATTAAATGGAAAATCAACTCATTGTATGAGAATCGTAATCAAAAGCCGTTTCAATTCACATGATTGTTTGATAAACAGAAGCATAATTGAACTGCTGAGGATATTCGTTGGACATTGTTTGTGTGGTACCATAAATGTGGTACTTGAAAATGTTAGTACGCAAAAGCGGTACACGCGTTGTTGTAATCACGGCTTAAAAGCCCCGAAAAAATTATTTTGATGTACCGCTTTTGCGTACCAACATTTTCAAGAACCGTATTTCGTACGAACGTAACAATGTCCAACGAATATCCTCAGCAGTTAAATTGGGAGCATTATGTTTTAACTGAACACCATGAACAAAGTCTAAATTAAAATGAAAGCTACTTTTTCCACTCGTTCCGTGACCTCTTCGGCACGTCAAAAAAAAATTTGAACTTTTTGAACGCTAAAGCGGTGGATGCCGCACACAGAATGAACACATTTATATATATATGATATGATGAACAGACATTTCGTTCTAAAATACAAGCAAAATGAACTGTATGGCTTCACTAAATGAAAGGGCTATTTCATTCATATCACAAGCAGTCAAATGGAAGTTTTTATTTTATGTGACCACTGAACTTGGCAAAAAAAGAACAGGTGCATGTTTAATACCACAAAGTGAAACTACTCCTGCGAATGTGTTGCGTCACCTGAATACCGAAATCATATCGTTTGTGACAAAATGTAAATGTGTGTGTGTATTGTTTGCATAAAATCATGTGGCCATTATAACTGGAATAGATTTCAAATATTAGATGTTATGTCACATCATTACAAGTTAAAAGTCTCTATCTACAAATGGAAGAATCTCATTTGACCATATTAAGATGATCGCATTCACATATTGTTATTTTCATAATTTTCTGTCATTTTTGTGGTTGTTCATCTACTGTTTGATGATAATGTGGCTTGTGTGATAAACATTAATGAATGAGACATAAACCGGTTAGTTAAGGCATATGGAGAGAGAAAGTCAGGTATCAATGCGCCTATTAGGATGA